CAGCAAAGTCTGTATTCAGCTGCTGAGACGAGCCAAAACATCCAGGCAGCTGCAGCGGTTCAACAGGTTCTGGTTCAGGAAAATATGAAGACGTGAGGGGGAGTGGGTCAAACCGTACCTGTCCAGTGAGGAAGACCAGGACGTCTCCTGGAGGCTGAGTGACGTGAATCTGCAGCACCGACACCACACAGGCATCCAGGTAGTCCGCCTCAGGAGCCTTCACAACAACAACAAACGTAAACATCTGCCTCAGGAGCCTTCACAACAACAACAACAAGCGTAAACATCTGAATTTCAGACAGAACATCTCAGAACATTACTAGACTTTCGTAAATTATTTTCTTTTACCATAGCAGGTAAAAGTTGTTTTTGATTTTTATTTATTTGTAAACAACTCGTCCGACTCCAACATTTAGAGGCGCCCGAGCTCACCTTGGTGTAGAAGATGTCGACGGGGAACCTCCTGCCAGGGATCCTGAACACAGGAGCGTCGTCGAAGAAGCTGGAGAACCGCTCCGTGTCCAGCGTGGCGCTCGCCACCAGAACCTTCAGGTCGGGCCGGAAACGGGCGATGTCTTTGATCAGGCCGAACAGGATGTCCGTGTGGAGTGTTCGCTCGTGAGCTTCATCGATGATGACCACGCTGCAAAGGAGCAGAGAGAGCATCAGGAACCACCGACACCAGCGTGACCGAAGACCCGGTCCAGGGTCCGGTCTTCACCGTACCTGTAGCTGGCCAGGTCCGGTTCTGTGAGGAACTCTCGGAGCAGCATCCCGTCCGTCATGTACTTCAGCACGGTCCTCTCCGACGTGCAGTCCTCAAAACGAATGCTGTACCCCACCTGAGCCACGCCAACAACAAAACAAGCTGGAGAAACGTCCAAGAACAGCCGAAACGGGGCTAAAAGAAGCCAAATGCCAGCTACACGCTAACAGCCAAAACTAGAAAAATACTAGCTGAAAGTAGAAAAAGGCTAGCTACAAGCTCAAACGTGCTAAAGGATAACAGAGAGCAAAAAGAGAAAAGTTTAGCTAAAATCTAAATGAGGCAAAAACTAGAAAAAAGTAGGATAATGGTAGCTGAAAGGTAAATATAGCTGAACAGCAACTAAAATTCAAGTGTCAAAAGGATAACTAGAAGCCAAAGACATCAGAACAGTAGATAAAACCGAACAGAAGCTGAAGACAAAAACAGCCACGTGTCTAATAAAAGTACAAACAAATGAAAAGTCTAAAAGTTACAAAAACCAAACGTCACAGCACCGATCTGAATGAGCCGAACGTTTTGATATATAAACAGCTAAAATAAAACAAAGTCTGCGGAATTACAGAACAGAAAAATAAACATCAGGGAAACAGCGGTGTGAATAATGCTGACTCAGCGTTCACACTACGACACGGTCAGCGTTTTTCTGATCCGGACTTACCTCGTTACCGAGCTTCACGTTCATCTCCTCGGCCACTCGGGCCGCCACCGACATGGCCGCCACCCTGCGAGGCTGCGTGCAGCCGATCTTCATCCCTCCGTTGGTGTAGCCCTGAGAGACGAGCAGCGTTTGATGAACGTTCGTTCCGACTTACAGACAGAATAAAACGAGCGAACGCTGTACTGACGTCCTCCAGCAGGTACTGAGGGATCTGGGTGGTCTTTCCTGAACCCGTCTCGCCCTCAATGACCAGGACCTGGTGCTCGTGGATGGCAGCCAGCAGGTCTTCTCTGTAGGGGAAGATGGGGAGGCTGCGCCGGACCTCCTGGATGGAGTGCTTCTTCAGCTCGGCCTGAGACAGAGACGGCTCCTCACGATCCTGAACACAGCAGAAGACAAAGAACTGAGCCAGACCCTCTAAATGGACCTCGTTCCTCTAAAGTTCCCTTCCAGTCACGCAGACTTTCCTGGAACCCTTGGACGTGGGTCTGCAGACTTTCTGAAGGTCTCACTTGCAGTTTTCAGATGTTTCTGTAGGTGAAGAACCCTAACCCTCAGCTATTTACGGATACTATGATCTACCGAAACCTTTTCTGCTGATTTACTGGTCAGAGAAATGCGGGTTTACATCCAGAATTCTTGATTCGTGTAAAACGGTTTAAACGTTTACACTTTAAAGCCGGTAAATCAGAATAAAACCTAAAATCTGTGCATGAAACAGGAAGGGTAAACCAGCTGGCACAGGAAGTGGCTTTTGTTCTCCATCACAGATCAGTGTAAACGGATCCAGGACTGAATACAGACCGAGGCTGGTTCTGGTTCTGCACCTGCTCAGAACCGGCAGGACGGGGAGTGCAGTGCTGCGCCCTCTAGTGGAGAACCTCCAGTAGCAAACAGCAGATCTTCACGCTCATCTTCTGGTTCTGACTGGACCTCTCCTGGAGGTCAAAGTTCAGCTGGTTCTGGAGGATGTTAAATATCCACAAACTCTTTGTTTTGTATGTGGGACACCTGTAAAAATGCTCAGAAGTCACTTTAAAGAGGCGTTTTATTACGAGCGCCAGCTCGTCTGCATTAACGGGTGTTAAAATTCTTCTGAATGTTGGATCTGAATGTTTGATCTTTTAGCGTCAAACACAACTAAAGAATTAAAAATTATAAAACGTGTTCCACAAAGTGCCTAAAGGAGCAGCATTCCTCCTGTTTCAGGTTTATTTTTATTAATATTATTATTATTATTATTATTTGTTTTTAGGATTTTAAATCACTTTATAATGCAGCTGCTTTTGTTTCATTTTTATATAACTTATTTTATTACTTTTCATTTTATATGATGGTCCGTTGTTGTCATCATTCTTTGTTGAAATCAGGTCTCTCATGTCAATGAGTCCTCGAGGCTCAATGAGACTAACCTGGATAAATAAAGGTTGAATGAATTATAACTCAGCGAGGGCCACATGAAGACATTTTATCAAGCAAAGGTCCAGAACTTTACCTGAACCCACTCAGGACTGATAAACATTTTATTGATTTTATAAAAGAGGGCAAAGCTCTTTAAGTTACTTATAACTGATCATTTTACACAAACGATGGAGAAAAGTCTCTACGTCGATTAGATGCAACAAAAAGTCCAATAAAACAAATAAGTACGATTATTGATTATTATTTGATGGTTTACATCAAAATATAAATGTAAAGATTAATATTTTGGAGGACGGTCTTATGTTCTTTACTTTTAGACTTTAAAGGTTTAGTTTTATAATTTTTAAATTGAGCGTCGTTTTAAGCTCCTCCCGGTTCGAGTGGAAGCCGAGGAGTCGTGACACCTGATTGGACGGGAGGCGGCCTCCTCACCTGCTCCGAGCGCGTTCCCTTCATGGTGATGGCCGTGCTGACGAAGTGGATCATCTCGTCCTCCTCCATGATCAGCTGGTAGCGCTCCTGCTCCTCCTTCAGGCCCTGCTCGCGCTCCTTCCTGGCCCCGAAGCTGAGCGAGGCCGTCTTCAGCCTCTCCTCCTCCCAGCGGCCCTGCTCGCCCCCCAGCTCCATCGGGGCCTCCTCCAGCTCCAGGTCCAGTTCCTTCTGAGGGACCTCCTGTTCAGAGGAGAGACGGTGGATGAGCTGGTCTTCGATGGGTTTCTGGTTTTGGTGTGAGGAACTCACCTTCATCCTGTTCTCCTCGGGCATGTAGTACCGGTTCTTCCTCTCATCCTGCTCCTTGGCTCCGGCCTTCTTGTAGTCTTTAGCCAGATCTCTGATGGTGCGTTTGTGCTCCAGGTCCTTCTTCTCCCTCTCCGTCAGCTCGTTCGTGGAGAAGAGGTACTCCTCGTCGTAGATCTCTGCGTCCAGGTCCTCCAGCTTCTCCGACTCCCTCTTCTTCAGGTAGTCCCAGCGGGAGCGTTTCCTCAGCTCCGGCAGCTACGAGCACAAACAGAAATCTGAGTTTCGGTGAATCCTGCTCCGTTACTCGAGCGGAGGAGTCGACCGAAGCACCGACCATGTTCCTCTGATCGTCCTCGGCCATCTTCAGACGCTTCTGAGCTTCTTCGTACGCCTGCAGAGAAACACGCAGCAGGTGAAGCTTTCCACCGGACCATCACGGAACGACAGATAAAGCCTCGTGTGATCATGTGACCTTTTTGTCCGTCCGCTCTGCGATGTTTCGGGTCTTTTCTTTGTCCTTCTGTCTCACTCTCTGAGCGAAGGCGTCTCTCTCCTCGATGTCCTGCAGTCGTTCTCTCTCCTCCTTCTCCCACTCTTCCTCCTCCTCCTCTTCTTCTTTCTTTACAGACTTCTGGGCTTCTTGGCCAGAATGACCCCTGGAATTAAACAAAAATGGATCAGACTGAAACTTATGAACAAAACTGTGAGATTTCCACTTTAAGAAAAGAGGTTTTAACTCGACAGACGTTCTGATTGAACACAAGTTGGCACAACGAACAGATTTTCAGAGATGAAGTTCTAAACAAGCCAAGCAGCAGGTCTGAAGGCTGGTCGAAGCATGAAGCCAGTTTCTGATTCATGAGGAAGTTTCCAAAATGTCTTCAGGGTTCGGTTTGAGTTCTGAACAAAAACATTTGTGCAACAAATTTTGATTCAAAATAAGCACAGACGTGTCGCGAATCGTTTCCTTTGGGGTGAGGACAGAGGACACAGAAACGAAGTGAGAAGGATGAACCGCTGTGGAGACCCCGGAAAAGGGAACAGCTGAAAGAAGAAGAAGAAGTCGCAAATCATTTCCAATTCGTCTCCGAGTCAGACAGGAAACATCCGAGGCCCCGATCGCTCACATCAAAGAACTAAACTGATGATAATTATTAAAAATAAAACACTGAAATCAGAGACTGAAGATGAAAATCTGTTACCGTATTTTTCGTTGTATAAGTCGCACCTTTTTGCATAAAGTTGCAAGTCCTGCGACTTATACACTGAAGCGACTTATTTATATTTTCCCCCCATAATTATAACCAATTTTTGGCTGAGATCTGACGATTTCATTCGTTCTGACATGGAAAATATTGAACACTAACATTTTCTAGATGGTCCTCGACTAATATAGCAAGCCAAGTGTCTCATTAATAGGTAAAAGTGGCTATTAATGAGACAGTTGGCTTGCCATAGAGAGCCACCTTCATCAAACATCAAATCAGCTGCATTTTGCTGCTCAGATGAAATTCAGCTGATGTAACTATTAAAGTACATTTATTAAGGAAAAGGTAGACTGAGACACAACTTTGCTTTAATTTCGAGTGAACAAATAATTGTTTTTAAGTGTGTGTGTGTTTTTTTTTAAACTGTTAATCTTGTTAAAGTCCTTCCATGCACGCGCTCTCGCGGTTGCCATTTGGCAGCCAATCGATTTTTGGCACAACACCGGATCACATTTCCTGGTGGTCAGTGGTGACGCATAATTGATGCGACTTATACGGCGAAGTGACTTGTTTTTGTTTTTTTTCCACTTTATTAGACATTTTTGGACGGATGCGACTTATACGTCGGTGCAACGTGCACGGCAGAAAGTATGGTAACTGGTCTCCACATTAAGACATTATTCTTTCTTTTCTGTTTCAGTCTCAATTTTCAGTTTGCTCTGTTTGTAAAAAAAAAAATTAAAAAAAAAAATATATATATATATATCCAAAAACAGCATCAACCTTCAGCGTTTCATCAGCGTAGATCATTACGCTGCAAATTCCTGTTGAGCTGTAGAGAACGTTCATGTTTGTTGGAGCGTTTGGTGGATTTCAACTTCTATGCAGAAATTTTCCAGTAATTTTTTTTATTTTATCTGAATCTAAAATTATTGACTGAAGATGCTCAACCACCTCTTCCTGTCTCTGACCTTTACTTCTAATTAACTTTTAATTAAACAAGAAAAACTGAGATTAAAAATGTGTTTAAGAGTGCTCTGGGCACCGAGTTCGTCAGAACTAGGTAAATGTTTTTATAATCCTTTGCGGTGGTCCTAATTAACAGTTCTCCAGACTTTCTGAAGAGTTTTCTCAGTTTTTCTCAGTCTCAGCGCAGTTTTGTTGTAGTTTCTCGTGAATTCAGCAGCAGAATGAAGCGTTTTACCGTTTAGACGGTTCGTCCTCGCTCGAAGACTCGCTGGCTTTCTTCTGCCGGATGTGTTTCTTCTTGTTTCCTCGCGCTTTTTCTTTGCTTTTCTTCTTTCCTTTCTGCTTCTCTCCCACCGCCTCCTCGCAGCTGTCGCTGTCCTCCAGCAGCGTGTACGTCCGGTTCTTCCTGTCCATCTCTATCGCCTGTCGCTCCATCGCTCTGGACGGCTTCTCCACGGCCTGACGCCGGGGGATCTATGACACGAGGCAGTGAGAAAATATCAAACAAACGAGCAGATCCCACAGGGAGGCGCACGTTTATAAAAAATACCTTTTCAAAGAGTTCTTTAGCGAAGGCCGTCACGCTGTGATCGATGTCGATTGTCCCCGTCTGCTCGAGGCGACCCACGAAGTCCTCGGGACTGGACGCTTTCCGAGCGACGCCGATCATGAACTGAGAGACGTACCTGTCGCTGAGGCCGAGGATGTCGTGCAGGCGGTCGCTCACCCACTGCTCCAGGTTGGCCATGGTGCCTGAGGAAACAGAGAAACTGTTTGTTTATACGCCCATATCTAAAATACACTAAATAAATACATATTAGAGGGACAGGAGAGGTGACACTCATCAAAATTACTGAATAAATGTGTAACCAAATTACAATAATAATTATTTTGTCTAAGACATTATTAAAATGTTTGTTATATAAACTTATATAAACTGCGAGAAAACCCACGTAAGCAAAAAGAAAAAACTCCACTCAGAAAGGACGGGATTCAATCCAGCAATCTTTTCGCTGAGAGGCAACAGCTCGACCTACTGCGCCACCGTGCTGCCGTACTCTGGAACATTTTAAATATTTTAAAAAGGCAAAAGAAAATTCATCGTTTCAGACCAGTTCTGGAGTTCAGGTTTCATTAAACTCATATTTATAATTACTGTACGGCTATTTTATGTAACTGATGTTCTGCCTCTGTTACAGGGCTCTCCTGTAAATGAGAATAGCTGTCCAAATAAAAGTAAATAAAAAAAAGCTTTTTATGTTTGATTTTATATTTTGCAGTGAGGATTTTTAAACAATCGAGTTTAGATGAGAAGGTTGTTTTTAAGAAATGAGCATGTTTTTAAATGTCAATAAACTTTATCAGCTTTGGAGGGGATTTATGATAAAGGAGTATTTAGCTTCACAGATTTAGGTTTCTGCTGAAGCTTAAAAATAAAACGTTTTGTCTGCGTTAGGATGATTACAGGATGTCCAGGATATCTGGACCCCCTCCGGTTTGAATACCAGCCACACATTGGAGTTGATGACGCCATCATCTACCTGCTGCACAGTCTACACGCACCTGGACAGGGCAGGCAGCACTGTAAGAGTCATGCTCTTTGACTTTTCCAGTGCTTTTAACACCATAAGACCTGCTCTACTCTGCAGTAAGCTCATGGACATGCAGGTGAATGACTCGCTGGTCACCTGGATCAGATGTCTCTGACAAAGGTGTCTGAGCAGAGGATGCTGAGGAAACTGCTCCAGATCCTGAACATGTCACACCCCCTGCATGACACCGTGGACTCTTACCGCAGCACCTTCAGTCGTAGACCAGCGAGGTGCTCCACAGAACAACACAGGAAGTCCTTCCTCCCTGTGGCTCTCAAACTTTTCAGCTCCTCCCCCTTTCTGCACAAAGGACAATAAAATTAATCCTGCATCACAATAAACACTTTAATGTTTTCACATTAAAACATTTCACACACGTCTGCACCCGACCTGTTTATGTCTTAATTGCTGGTATTTTATTTTCTGTTATTTTCATATTTTGTTATATTTTATATCTTGTGTGAATCCCTGTGTGTGTTCCTTTGTACTGAAACTCTGGCACAACAATTTCCTGCGGGATCAATAAAGTTCTTATCTTATAAAAATTATAAGGTTTTAATGTAATATTTTAGGTTAAATGCGCTTATGCAAAACTAAATTTATTAGATTTTCCACATCTGGAACAATTTGATAAAATGCGTTAAAATGAAATTATTTGTCAAATCGGAGTCGAACTGAAAGTTTTACTTTGATTTCAAACGTTTATTTTTTTTTTTCTTTTTATTTCCCAAACTAGTTAACCCACATCCCTTCGTGAATAAATGTTTAAACAGACTAATTGTTTGAATAAATAGCTTTGCTCAATAATAAGAGTTGAAACACTAAAAATTTACTTACTTACGTTTTAAAACGCTCAAAAAACGTTGTTGTTACGATAAAAACAGCAGCTGGAGTTTAAAAATAAAAAGATAAAATGTTTTGTTCATAACGTTCACAACGTAAGGAAACTAACTGAAAACGTACAGCCACTAACGGACAGAAAACATTACTCCGTTTCTGACATTTTAAGTCCAAAGATACACTTTTGGATTCTGTTAGCATAACCAGCGCACACTGCAGAAGCAACAGGAAATACGTCACGTCACAAACAGCCGAAGAAGAAGAAGCGTAAACATGCTGTGGTGCGTACCGCCCCCTGTGGCCACAGGAAGAACTACAAGAAAAACGACTTTTAAGAGTTTGGACTGAGAAAACTTTTTTTTGATAGAAGTGAATCGTCTTTAAAAATAAATAAATAAATACTGCTCTGGTTGTCTTAATTTAAACTTATAATAATCGACTAAAAATATAATCATAGCCATTTGAAATGTCTGCTGGTGCAGTTCTTTTAGTCTTCCTCATGTGCCATTTTTATCCTTCTGTGTCCTTTTGCTTTTTGTTATTCTGTTTTTTTTTTTGTTTGTTTTTGGTTGTCATTCTGCTCTTGGTGTCTCGTCTTCAATTCAATCAGTAACTTTCAGCACCACCAATCAGCTCCCAGCATCACTAGTTGAGAACGTGGCCCTCACAGGTGCCGAACTCAGGAAGGAAATGACACACAGGGTGGGTTGTGACGAAGCCTTCATGTTCTCTGTGAACACAAACTCACAGAAGAGAGAAGCTCACTGAGCTGTGGATCCAGAGCCCATCTCCTCTGGACCTGATGCTCCAACTCACCTGTGACCAGGTGAAGATGACAGCTCCTCGGATCTCTGCAGGCCCGTCTGCGCAGCCGCTGCTGCAGCTGCTCCTGCTGCTGCTGCTGCTGGCTGCAGGATGCACCCATGGATACAAACCTGTCGTCATCGTTCACGGGATTCTGGACGGACCCAAACAGTTTGAAGTTCTGTCTTCATTCATTACAAAGGTGGGGAGATTCAGAACATTCCACCTGAGCAAACTTTCCAACAAAGTTTTTTAAACATTAAGCTTTGTAAAACTTAAGTGGCTGAGTAAAATAAGTTCGGTCTTTTAAATCACGTTTCACTGCTTACTATAGAAAAATATTCATTATGAAGAGATTTAAAATATTTAACTGCAGCAAAGACATTCAAGCTGATTTTTTTTTACACTGCAGGTTTAAAATAAAAATGTTCTGCTTGTTTTGTGCAAAACTTTCCTTCTAAACCAGACTTATATCTAAACCCTAAATTCAGCTTAAGACACAACAACAACATAAAAAAACAGGTCAGAAATGAGTAAAACAATAAAACTTAATAAAACCTATTTCTGCTTAATGTCTTTTCTACACTAAAGCTGGACTGAGTCTTCTTTAATTTTCTGTAAATTGAATTGTTCAGGCGTCTCATTTTGTCTAAAATTAAAATAAATTTTAACCTTGAGCTGAAACAGATGAAGGAGAAGTTTCTGAAGTTCAAAAGATCAAAACAAGATTCTGTTTTTATAAAACCAACATGAGAAACACAAGACAGATCTCTTCAGTTCCTATTTCTGATCTTCGGTCATTTTCACTTCCTCACAATAAGGTTCAGGAACAGAATAAAGTCCCAGCTTCTTTCAATTTAAACTCTTGAGAAACAACGTTGTAATTGTTTTGATGAAACCTTAAAGGTAACGTTACGCTCGAGCTGACGCAACGCTCAGACTCGGCGTCAGGGATGACTCTCAGCTACCACCACAACAAATCTTATCACAGAGGCTGTAAAACCGGCAGAGTTAGAGCTGAGTTTATTAATGGATTGACTCCAAATAATAAACCGTTGTAAACAAAAATCCAGTGATTGTTTCCTGAAAGTTTTGTTTAAATCCCATCAGTGGCTTGTGAGATATTTTGCTAACAAACACACACACATATGTAGATATGGACGAAAAACATGATCACCCACCGTGTAAAAAACATCTTCAACAGGTTGGTCAGAGTCAGTCAAGAATGGTGTGTGTGTCCAGGTGCATCCAGGTACCCAGGTGTTTGTGATCAGTTTGTACAACAACCTGAAGAGTCTGCAGCCGTTGTCGATCCAGGTCCGAGACTTCAGGAAGGCCCTGGAGGACTTCATGCTCCGGTCCCCCGGGGGCATCCATCTCCTCTGCTTCTCACAAGGTCCGCAACATAAAATAAAAAAAAAACTTTTAATGAGTTTAATCTTTCTAAACTTTTAAATGTGCGAGGCGGCAGACAACAGGCATTCCTTCAAGGAATCATAGTTTATTGGAAATTATAAAAAAAAAAAAAAAACTTGAAACCAGAAAGAAAACCATTAACTGGTTCACTGAGGAAACTAATTAGCATTAGCATTAGCATTTCAGCAGTCATAAAACAGAGACTGGCTGATTTTGATCCAAGGGCAGCAGGAGGGTTTCACCTGATCCCTGTGAAGTGAAAGCACCTCCTGGTGCTGTAAATCATCACGATGGATGAAGTTAAACGACTCCAGACGGTGGAAAGTTGCACCTGTTCCATGTTTGATGGCGGCAAGAGGCTTGACCTGGTGGAGTTCCCGTTACATGATGTGTAGAGACCATCAGATGAAGTTTCATGACGACAACTTGGTCTCGGCAGCTTGTTGAAGAACTTTGCAAAGGTTTGGGTTAAAAACTCGAGTCATTACCGCTGGTAATGAGAACCAAACTCTCGCACCATTTGCTTCAAGACTGAATGGCACGTCTCCTGTCCCACAGTGTACCTCGAGGAACATGGTCCTATGCTTTCTCCAGGTCCACTAAACACTTGTAGACTACAACTATAAGTTGTCTGGAGCGGTTCACAGCTGGGATGAGGATCAGAACCGTGGTCCTCAGTCAGATGGTGGACTGTCCTCTCTGGGTCAAGGGTGAGGTTCTACCTCAAGTGGAGGACTTCAAATATCTCTGGTGTTGTTCACGAGTGAGAGAGAAATGGAGCATGAGATCAACAGATGAATTGGTGTAGCTTCTGCAGTATTGTGGAGTCTGTGCCGGTCAGTTGTGGTGAAGAGGGGGAAGCTCTCTGTTCACCGTTCAGTCTGATCCTACCCTCACCTGTGGTCCTGAGCTCTGGGTAGTGACGAAAGAACAAGATCATGGATCCAGGAGGTCTAAATGAATTTCGCTGCAGGGTAGATGGACTCTCCTTCAGAGATGCGGAGAAGTTCAGTTGTCCAGGAGAGACTCAGGAGTAGAGCCACTGCTCCTCCACATCCAGAGGAGCCAGTTGAGGAGGTTCTGACCTCTGGCAAGGATGGACCCTGGACCTCCCTAGGAAGGTTTTCTGTGTATATCTAACTGAGAGGAGACCCCGGGGTAGATCCAGCCATGCTGGAGACTGTCTTTCTGCTGGTCTGAGAAGACCTTGGAGTCCCAGAAGAGCATGAAGAGGAGAGATGTCTGGACCTCCCTGGTCCAGCTGCTGCCCCCAAGACCTGAGTTCAGAACAGGATGATGAATGGAAGCGACCCATTAATTATCCAGGACCCACCTCTGGTGAGGTCTGTAGTCTCATTCTGTTGTTTAATCTGAACATCAGCTGCTGATTCGGTCTTTTGGGTGAAGAGGGAAAGGGATTTTGCTGCCAGAGAAGATAACTTCAGCTGAACTTCTTGCCTCATTTGGTCCTTCTTTCTTTCTCTTGTTTGGCTAAAGGTGGCGTGGTCTGTCGAGCGCTTCTCTCCGTGGCTCCTAACCACAACGTGGACACGTTTATCGCCCTGTCGGCGCCGCTGGCTGGACAGTATGGAGGTTTGATTGACGGCTCCCTGCGATGTTTAATGAAATCATAAAAACTGATTCTAACACTTGGCTTTTCCCGCAGACACAAACTACATGAAATACCTGTTACCTGACATAACGAAGGACATCGTGTATTTGTTCTGCTACAGCAAAATTGGACAGAACTGCTCTATTTGCAACTACTGGAATGGTAATCAAATGAAAACTCCTGCCACCTTACACTTCCTGCGAATAACACAATAAACAGTGTGTTTTCTGTGAAGACCCTCACCATAGATCCAGCTACCTGAGGAAGAACACCTTTCTGCCTCTGCTGAACGGTGAGAGACCTCACCCACACCTGCAAGGTAGGGATACTAACTGACACTAAGATTTATTTTTATAACAGAACAATTGTTTTAATAATGTTCTTCACGGTTTTTTTTCTCCTCAGAATGGAGGGAAAGTTTCCTGCGCATCAAGAAGATGGTGCTGATTGGAGGACCGGATGATGGCGTCATCACACCGTGGCAGTCCAGGTCTCACCCACATCAGACGTTTATCTGAACTAAAAGAGCTCCAGGAGAAACGTTGAGCAGAGGACATTTTAGAGATTGTTTTCAGCTCCTACCAAACAAAAAGTCAGCTCAATAGCCAATATGTCTAACAATAGCTGTTTTCAAATCATCTTTGGTGGCCATCTTGAATTTTTTATTAGCATTCAGGTTGTGTTGGGGATCACTCTCAGCTACCACCATACCAAACTTCAGCTCAATACATCTACAAATAGCTGAGTTATGCAAGTTTATCAGAGAGAAACCGTATTGGATCGTCGAGGCCCGGGTTAACAACAAACGTCACCGGTGCTGTTGACAAACAGGGTGCCAGTGGAAATTGTGCTGCTGTTAGTCAAAGACCACGAAGAGGGAAATGTGTCAGGAGACAGAGGGAGAAGAGGAAAGTGAAGAATGTAGGACTGAGGGTGGACACTCTAAATGTGGGGACAATGACAGGCAAACGTAGAGAGCTGGCTGACATGATGCTGAGAAGGAAGGTAGATCTTACGTGTCCAAAAGACCAAGTGGAAAGGCAGCAAGGCTCGCAGCATTGGATCAGGGTTCAAACTGTTTGACCATGGTGTGGATAGAAAGAGAAATGGAGTAGGGGTAATCCTCAAGGAGGAGTTGGCAAAGAATGTAGTAGAGGTGAAAAGAGTGTCAGATAGGGTGATGTGCCTGAAGGTAAGTAGAAGGTCTGATGTTAAACGTTGTAAATGGACTGTACTTATATAGCGCCTTTCTATCTTATTGAGATACTAAAAGTGCTTTACAACACAATCTGTGTCCTCATTTACCCATTCATACATCACTCTACTAGATCTCTACAAAGCTAATTGAACAAATCATTCTAAAGAGACTAATCAGAGCTTTATCACATTCATACACCGATGGGACACACATCAGAGGCAACTAGGGGGTTCAGCGTCTTGCCCAGGGACACTTCAGCATGTGACTGCTGGTGGATTCGAACCCCCAACTCTTGCATTGGAGGACGACTGCTCTAACCACAGATAAGTGTTATAAAATGTAAATAGAGACCGTTCAGATGTTGTTGAAGTGGGGATGTTAGCAGGAGGCTACTGATCTCTTGACTCTGGTACTACAGCAGCCCATACACGCTAACACTTAGCATCATGAAGAAGCATGCTAATCAGCTGATCACTGGCCTAAACATGCTAATAATTAGCTTCATAAAGCTAAAAGTTAGCCTGTTCCTGCTAATGTTTAACTGAGGAAGCTACAAGCTGTTATTAACTACATTAACACAAATGTGCTCCACATTAGCATTGCTATGCTAATAGCTAGCTGAGGTGTAATCGTGTAATGCCACATGCTAGTCCTTAGCTCCTCTATGCTAACAACACCTAACTACAATCCAGTGAGTTGTGTCAGAGATTCAGGTCAAATGTGAGGATTGATAACACTGTTCTGATCACCACTCTCTCCTCTCTGATGGGAATACTCTCCATCACTTCATCCAGATATTTCCAAAAGTACCTTTCTCCTCCCCATCACATCCAGCCTGTGCAGCACAACCACTGACACTGGGGCGGCTGTGGCTGAGTGGTTAGACGCCATAGAGTGTTTTAACCCTGGGTTTTGTCTGCAGGCGTAACTCGGGTCAAAGATTTCGTTGTTTCTTTAAAAAGGGCTGCTAATTTCACAAAACCTTGAGCTGCTGCAGCTTCCTGTAAAAATAAGATTATTGGTTTCTCTGTTGCTGAACAGATGAATTCTGTTCAGTCAGTAAAGAGAGATGGACCAAAGGTGTTACTGAGCAACAGATTTTCAGAAAGAAGACAGAGAAGTGGACGTTTTCAGAGGTTTCATACGATGTGAAGTTTCTGATCAAAAAAAGTTTTTGTTTTTGGTTCCTCTTCACCTGAAATGATTGGTTCCTGTTTTCTTTGCAGCCACTTTGGTTTCTATGACGACAACGAAGATGTTGTAGAAATGAGGAACCAGGAGGTAAGTTCTGGCTGGGCCGGCCCATCGTTAGACAGACCGTGCTCTGAGCGGGCTCTGGTACCAGCACTGTGCACACTGGACCGTTGTGATGTTTAAATAAAAACGTGTTTTTGTGTTTCCTGAAAGTTTTACAGGAACGACACGTTCGGCCTGAAGACGCTGGACGCTCGCGGTGACATGTCGGTGTGCGTTCAGTCCGGAGTGAAACACACAAAGTGGCACGGAAACTTCACCGTGTTTCAGAGCTGCATAGAGAAGTGGCTCACCTGAAACCAAAACTTCAAGCTTTCAGTCCATCTCACTCTGTCCTCTGTCCTCACTCTGTCCTCACTCCAACTACCTCCATGTCCTCTCTAACTGAATCAATTTATCTCCTCTTTGTCTTTTTCCTGGCAGCTGCATTTCTAACATCCTTCTACCAATATACCCACTGTCCCTCCACTGGACATGTCCAAACCACTGTCCCCCCTCTACACATGTCCAAACCACTGTCCCTCCTCTGGACATGTCCAAACCATCTCAGGCTGGTCTCTCTAACTTTATCTCCCAGTTGTTCAACATGTGCTGTACCTCTGATGATCACATTCCTAATCTTATCCATCCTTGTCACTCCTAAGGAGAACCTCAACATCTTCCTTTCTGACACTTCCAGTTCTGTCTTGCTGTCCATGTCTCTGTCTCCAGACCATACAAAATAGCTGGTCTCACCACTGTCTTGTAAACTTTTCTTTTGACATTTGCTGACACCCTTTTGTCACAAATCACTCCTGAAACTTTTCTCCATCCACTCCATCCTGCCTGGACTCTCTTCTTCACCTCTTTACCCCATTTTCCTGGACAGTGGACCCCAAGTACTTGAAGTCCTGCACATTTGTGACCTCTGCTCCTTGTAGCCTCACTGTTCCACCTCCTCCCTCTCATCTACACACATGTACTCTGTCTTACTACAGCTGACTTTCATTCCTCTTCTTTCAAGTGCATACCTCCACCTCTCCAAGTTCTCTTCCACCTGTTCTCACCACAGATAACAATGTAATCTGCAAACATCATAGTCCATGGGGATTCCTGCCTGAGCTCATCTGTTAGTCGGTCCATCACCAGAGCAAACAAGAAGAGGCTTAGAGCAGATCCTTGATGCACTCCAACCTCCACCTTGAAGCTATCTGTCACTCCTACAGCACATCTCACCACTGTCCTGCTGTCCTCATACATGTCCTGCTGTCCCCATACATGTCCTGTTGTCCTCATACATGTCCTGCTGTCCCCATACATGTCCTGCTGTCCTCATACATGTCCTGCTGTCCCCATACATGTCCTGCTGTCCCCATACATGTCCTGCTGTCCTCATACATGTCCTGCTGTCCTCATACATGTCCTGCTGTCCTCATACAGCAGCACAGCTCATCGAGAACAGGAACACAAAAAGAAGATCTCGGCAATCCAGCGATCGATACTCGACACTCAGTTGGAGCAAACTAAAGAACCCTGAAGGTCGTGTGGAGAAAATATGTTGTTTGAAACCTCTTTAAATATATTTGACCACATTCCTATAGATTCCTCCTGCAGCTATTTATTTATTTCAAAATGAAAATGAAAATAAAATGAGAGGTGGAAAAAACAAGTATAATAAATTGAGTGACGACAATTGAAAAGAACAAATTATAAAAAGAAACAAAGATAAAAACAGCAATTTATTATTTTGAATGTATTTTTCTGATTGTTTTCTTCTTTGTAACAAAACAAAACTTGGTGTTTAAGAATTTAATAAATAAAATAAAAAAATAAAACACCTCTACCGTCCTCTTGTGGTCATTTATGGAATTTCAGTTCGTTTTAAAATAAAACTTCACTTTAAAAAAAGAAATGAAGCATAAATATTGATTTTAATTTGTTTTGTTTTGAATCTGTGTAATAAAATACATCATTACATCATTCACCAGTCAACAATGGTGTACCACAAGGCTCAGTCTTAGGACCCACCCTCTTTACAATCTACATACTGTAGGTAATGTAGGTCAGAGCATCCTTGATTCATCCGTACATTTCTATGCTGATGACACAGTTGTTTATTGTTGAGCTAAACCAGTTGCTAAGGCTTTCTAGCTTTTGCAATCCGCATTTGACATCATCCAGTCAGACTTGTTCCACCTCAAACTTGTCCTAAACGCCGATAAATCCAAAGGGATGCTTTTTTCAAACTGGAAGTCGGTCCCAGCAGTTCTTCCTCTGATTTTATGATCAAATGGTGTCCCCATTGAGTTTGTTGATTCCTATAAATATTTGGGTATCGGTTGACTCGCATCTCTCTTTTAAGCGACACGTGGAAAACCTAGTAAAGAAACTGAAAGTTGAACTGGGTTTCTTTTTCAGAAACAGATCCTGTCTAAGTCTGAACGCTGGAAAACTCCTTGTATCTGTGACTTTCCTTCCCTCCATTGATTACCGTGACATTATTTACATGGATGCTCCTACAAGGTTGAATGAAAATTAAAAATGAATTCCTCACATCATAGCTGTTGTTGTTTATTGTTGTTGTTATTTTAGACTGAGTGTGGCAGGAATTATATTTTGTTTTTGGTCAGTTTTTGATTAAATTAAAGCTTAACGTTTAAATAACAAAATCATTAAACATGATAAAAACAGATTTGAACACAGAACCCAACGCTCAGTTCTTTGACCCAGTTCCTTTAAACAAAGAAAATATAAAATATCAAGTTCAAGGTTCTTTATTGTCATTTGCATCACATGTGGTACATGAGGTGGAATGAAATGTTGTACTCAAGGTCCCAGTTACACCCAAAAATATCACAAATATAAAGTATAAAAGAAACAGCACGTAAGGATTTAAAATATACGCTAAAAAAATGACACATTAAAAGATCTAAGATATACGTTAAACACTAATAATATAAAACATTACGGTGTATTAAACAGCAGCCTGAACATGAGTCTGTGGTGAGCAGGTGGGTATGAATGAACACAGCAGCATGAGATAATCAGATGAGGTGAGATATGGCTTTATATTGAAGCTTAATATAAACTATGGGTTTTTATAAATCTTAAACAGGACAAAATCAGGTTTAAATAGCAATTTTTTTAATTATCTGCTTCAGATTCAAGTTTGTTTAAATTATTTAAATAATAAATAAAAATGTCTAAAGCACTCAAAAACAAAATTTACACGTTAAATTAAAAGTAGAAAAAAAATGAAAAAAAGGCAATAAACTGATCAATATTATTTACAAAATAAAAAAATATATAACTAAAACATGTTTTAAAAATAAAAATTTAAACAAAAAAACAAAACTGTGCATGAACCAGATTACGGAGCCCCATGAGGGACATGTCAGAAAAAAAGCAATTTATTTTCAGCTCTAAAGTTTTGCATTTTCTTTGAAACGTCTGCAGCATTTCATTGTAAAGGGGGGGGGGGGGGGACACCCCACCAACATGCAGACCTACAGATCCAATGCACTTCCTTCTTTTAAGTAAATGAAAGTGCAAACTTTTGCTCATGTCGTCTGTGTGACATTACGAACTGTTTCAGGTTTCTGTTGCACACAGACGTGTTATTGTGATACTGAACACCTGAGTGACTAAACCACGCCGTGCAAATTAAAGAAATAATAATAATTAAACTCAGGATAAAGCTTTTTAAACATTTTGATCATATTTTACCAGCTCATTATCAAGACAGTGTCTCAAACCCAGCCGGTCGAAGCAGACGGCCGCTGGTCCTCCTGAGCCTGGTTCTGCTGCAGGTTCCTTCCTCAGGAGGGAGTTTTTCCTTTCCACTGTTGCCTTCGTGCTTGCTCAGGATGAGACCAAGTTAAACTCAACGCAGTCTGCTCCTTAGATAATGTTATTAACGTACTTTTTTATGTATGTGAATGTTTCTGTTCAGTGCCCTTCTGTTGTGACTTGGAGCTGTAGAAATAAACGGAACTGAATTGAATTTATGCTGAATAAACTTTATGCACTTTAACTTGAGTCGTCTGTATTTTTATTAACTCAACCTTTATTTATACAGGTTAGTTTCACTGAGTCACAAGGACTCATTTTCAAGAGACACCTGTTTTAAACAGACAACATATAGCGTACAGAACAACAAAATAAAAAATAAAACACATAATTTGTGTGGGCTATAATAATATAATTAAATAACAGTTTATAAATTGTGGAGCTACAGTAAATACACTGTTTGTTTTTTCTCGACATGGCCCTTGCGGGGCTCCGTACCCTGCACAGTCAGATTTTCCTGCAGCTCCGGGCAGGTGAGACCGGTGACGTCACAGCGGTAACGCCCTCCTCTGCTCCGGTGTGTGTCTAAACTTCAGCTCGGTTCCCAGTGGAGACTGGAAACTTTACTTTCCCACAAACTTCGTGATTTTTCTCGGCTCGTTCGGGTCGGAACCGATGAGGACTTCCGGCTCGTCGGTCGGACTCTGAAGCTTTGATCCGGCTGAGCGCGTGAATCCCGGCGGCAGGACTTCAAAGGTAAAGTTTTAAAATAAAAGCTCCGATCGGTTCGTGAAGCAGCCCGAACGGAACCGAGTTGTGTTTGTGACGTCAGTCCTGTCGGATCAGAGCAGCTCAGAGTTTCCTGCTGAAACTTTCCGTGGAGCTGCAGGCAGTGACAGCGTGGCTCAAGGTCGACGTGTTCCGGCCCGGTTGGACCCACAGAACTCGAGAAGAGGAGCTGGTCTGTTTGCAGTCTGAATGAAACTTTCAGCTTCCTCGGAAACCGGATCAGTTCCAGGTTCTGATCACCTAAATCTGTGAGGAGGTCTGTGGTCTGGTCCCAGACCCGGCAGAGTTCTGGGTCTGCCCCGGGTCTCCTCCCGGTGGGATGGAAGCGGGTCAGGACCCCGGACCTCCCTGAGGAGGAGCAGCTCAGAGAGCCTCTTTGCTCTCAGGACTGACTGTTGGAATTAGTTGAAGACAAAATCTTGTTGAAAAATCACAAGTTTTCCGAGTCGGTCCCTTTGAACCAAACGCCTCGTGACTTTGCTGTCCTGCTGCAACGTCAACAAAACTGTCAAGTTCTGACACGTGACTCCGCTCGAGTCTACAACCCTGGTCCTCAACCCTGGTCCTGGAGGACCACACGGCCCACGACCTGTTAAGTCCCTGCTCTTCATTGTTCAAGGTTATTTATTTGTCACGTGGTACATGTGGTGGAACCAAATTGTGTACGGGTCCCAGTTACATCCAACAAAAGTATTAAAATGGAAAAGAAAAACGGTACATATGAACTAAGAAAAGCGTTTACTAAAAATACACTAAGCACTAGTAGCATACAAACAATACGGCGAACAGCAGCACGAACATGAGTCTGTGTGAGCAGATGAGCACGCATGAACAGATCAGCAGCGTTAAACAGATCAGCAGCAACATTATGTGACTTTTCACAGTGATTATTCTGGTTAGAGATTCATGAGTCTAACAGCCTCAGGGTAGAAGCTGTTCCTCCGTCTAGTGGTTCTACACTTAATGCTCCTCAACCTCCTGCCTCAGGGGACCACGGCAAAAAGTGTGTGTGCTGGGTGAGTGGGGTCCTTCATGATGCAGGTGGCCCTCTTCCTGCATCTGGAGGTGTAGATGTCTGTGATGGTGGAGAGGCTGACTCCAAAGCTTCAGCAGGTCTAAGTTCTGCAGAAGCCTCCTGAGCACTCGTCCAAGGTGCTGAAACTGAGAGAGCTCGAAAACACGCAGGAGGACCAGGATTCAGGATCACTGGTCTAGAATGCAGCAGTGGTGTGAAAGGTATAAGTGACAATCAGGGCAGGGCTCTTCAACTGGTGGCCCGGGGGCCAAATCAGGCCCACGGATGAACTCAGTTCGTCCCACCAATGGGTTCATTTTTAAATAAAACTAGATTTTAAACCATAAAACAAACTTACTTAATGACAATAACTGCTGGATGTCTGGCCTCTGAGCTCTTGGCTTTCAGTAACTGTGGCCCCTGAGTAATGGAGTTGAATAGCCCCGATCTAGGAAATCTGATCCAGTCCAGCAAAAATTCCTTCATCGGATGTTGGGAAATGAGGACCTCAGAGAAGAGGAGCCAGAGCTGCTGGATCTAGACCCCAACCAGGATGAAGCAGGTCTTTCACATCTCGTGGTGTCTCTGAGCAGCACACCTTATCCCCAGTTGTTCCCCAGGCACTTTCAATAGCTGCCCTCTGCACCGCCTGCTGGTGGATAATTAAACGCAGAGAGACAATTTCGCCATTGTATGGGAACATACCATGATGACAATACATAATGCATTATTATTATTATTATTGTTGCGGTCACGAATGGCCCAGTTACGGGGCGCCTGTAACCTCCGGTCCTCATTGTTGTCTCTAATCAGGTCACAATTTGGTTTCAGCGGTTGCCAAACCCTCTTAAAGTTCCTTCACACTCTCACACTTTTTGACTCATGGAAACAACTGAGAAGGGTTCCAGACGACTGTGACGCTTCTGAGAGAAAAGTCGTCCCGTAAATGTTTTTAAACGCGTTCAGAACTATTGTGGCCCTAAAGCAAGGCCCTGTGGCTCACTCAGAGAAAACAAGAACCCTCACAAACCTATCGAAACATTTTGGAGACTCCCACAAGAATGCTGTCGACCGTTTGTTGCCAACAGTTGCAGCTCAGTGAGATTGTACCTGACGGGAACGCTCATTTCAGTCACTTGGATCCAAAATCTCCTTGTTTAAACATGATCCATACCTAAAAACCATATGTGAGGGTTGAAATGTAGATGGACCAGTAAATCCGGATCTTTACCTTTTGGCTCAGCCCCTCCTTTATATCACAATGGACCGGAGCAACGCCCTCATTATGGCAGACAAGGCCCGGATCCATTGCTCCATCGAACATTCAGATACTGAGTCTCCTCTGCTTGAGGCAAAGACTCATCCCTGTTTTTCTTTTTATTTGTTTCAGTAACATTTATTAGACTTTATCTACTTGTGATGGGATTTTTAAATTGTATTTTTACTACAAGCAGAAACCTGAAGAAAACATCTCAAGACCATCGTTGGGTTTTTGACTCTGATCGATTAAGTTCTGCTTTAACCCACAGAAAGTTTTCCACATCTTTTGGATACCAAGAGAGTCCATGATGTCCAGCAAAGGGAGGAACGACCTGTGCCAAATATGTGGCAAAGATCTCCAGGGAAACCAACGACGATGGCTGTTTGGGGGTCAGAGCAAGAGGACTGGTCAGTCTCGGACCCCAGCAGAGTCTGTGAGAGGTGGAAGCCTGTCCCGGTCCTCGCAGAGCAGCCCTTGGGGTCAGTCCGGAGGGTAAAGAAACACTTTCTATCCTGTCTTCATGTTGAATTGTCTGAAATTAAGCTTCTGTTTTTTCTACAGGCAGCACATTATCTCTGGGGTCCTCAGCATCTCTGTCAAAATCCCAGGTATCTGTAAGCTCCCCGTCCAAGGGGGTGGACCTGCTCGCAGTGCTGACCCACATACTGGGGCAGTCGGTACCACGGGGTGCTGCAGCGGGGGAGTTTGTGTGCGGTAAATGTGTGTCTGCCCTTGAACGGGTGTTTAAGTTTGACACAGTGATCGCGAGGGTGAAGGTGCTTTCCAGTGAGCGGCTCCAAAAGCTGATGAAGGAGAGGGACAAGATCAGGCAGTGGGTGCGCCAAAACTACGAGCACAGACACCCACAGGACCTCCAGAATCGGACCAGCACTGGCGATGTGGATGGAGAGCCGGAGAAAGAGGGCTACCGGGAGATGCTCAAAGAGAACATGGCTCTGTCGGAGTACGAGTGCTGGTCTGAGAAGTGGGACACTTGTCCGTATTTCATACGAACGGGTAAAAGATGCCGCAAGGGGAAAGGATGTGAAGGCTGCGATTCTTTACGGGTTTCTGACTCTGATTACGAGTCAGTCTGTGGGATTCCTCGTCACTTGCCTTTACAGCCCTTCTCTCCATTGGGACTGTCGCGGGACAGATCCCAGAGCATGCCCCTCCACTGGCAGGGGGTTCCATCCATCCACTCCAGCCCGGCTTCGCTGGCCGGGTCCAGCCTCTCCTTAAGAGCACCTTCCCGTACTGAGTCTATCCAGTCTCTGGACTCACTGGACGGTCCTGATCCCTTCGACCCACCAGGAGACCAGGCTGTAAACTTTCTGCTGAAGGAGCTGAGGAGTATTGAAGGTAGACCGGTCAGTTCACCCTCAGGAAGCAGGATCCCAGTTCTGGAGAGAAAGTTTGCTGGAGAAGTCGAAGGATTGTCAACGCCCAAAGTAAACAGAGCGCTGAACTTCGGGGACGCTGAGAACGGGAGGGACGAGGTGGATGGAGAGGATGGAGATGTTCTGACAGAGCTGAGGGAAGAGTACATGCCTCTTCATCGAGAGGTGAGTGGTTCTGTTCATGTCTGAGCATGTAGATACGGAGATTACCGCTCTGGAAAAGTCTCAAGATACCACCTATTTCTTCAGCTGTTCCTTCAAAGCTGACAGAGGGTCCTGTGATCTCTTGAAGTGATCTTCACTAACAGTTTTCTAGAGTTTCTGATGGTTTTCCAAAGTTTTCTTTGGCCATTTGCTGCTTTTTCCTCTCATGAACTGGACATTTTTGTTTAGACCGCTTAACTCCAACCTGAGAGTCATTCAGGCATAAAAGGTAGATTTAATAAATGTTGGGCATTTCTTCTCCCCACTGCACACCGTGCAGAGACGTGGCATGCTGGAGAACTTTGGGTCAGGACCGCGTTAAACGATGCAATCTGGCTGCTTTGAAGGAAAATATAAAAAAAATGTCTAACTTTTGCACAGCAGTTTAAAGTGAAAGGGCGCCTTGTTGTTTCAGAGCGCCACTACCAGGGTTCCCGGTGCCTTGAAGCACCTACGGGCCCAACTGGACCAGGCTGCGTCTCGAATCAGAACTCTGGAGGCTGAGCTGAAGCGAGGAGGCCGACCAGCTGAAGTAAACGGATCAGAGGAACCGACCTTTGTAAGCGTTCAGATTCTCGTGCACCCTTTGAAACTGAGTAACTATGAGAACGAACCAACTCAAACCTTTAGATTCAACAGGAGAAGCTTGTTTATGAAAGAGTCTTGTGATCAAACAGCTCCATGAAGCTGTCTGTGAGTTGACTGAACACAAATACAGTAAAGCTTTCTGAGAGGAACGGGGGGGTGGACTGGGTTCTGAGTCAGCTGAGGGTGTGTCTTCATTTCCTCATGAATACAGGTGCAGGTAAACACACACTCAGCCTTTCTCTGGAATCCTACCCGACTGGTGGAGTTTGCCCCGGGGTCCTGAGAAAGAAATCATTAACCGACCTCTCAGCTGTTCTGTAGGGAGCACGTGACCCGATCTGTCTCTGACGAAGGAACTGACATCAGCAGGCCATAAGCGAGGTTTCTCTGGTTGTCACACGTGGATCCTCTTGAATTATTGTGAAGACTGGAGGCAGCAGTTGGGCTGAACATGCTAATTTGGTCCAACCCGAGAAATCTCAACAAATAAACAGATTTCCTTAAAGTTCTGTACACACATTTACAGCCTCCAGGCTGAGTCAACATCATTTTCTACAATCGTAGACGCAAAGATAAGCCTGTTTGTTTACTCTGATATATGAGCGGACTGTTTGTTCTTTATAAGTGATCGTAAACTCTCCTCTTCCCTTCCAGGAGGACGGCGGCAGCTTCGTGCTGCAGAGCTTCGGTCACTCCCTGCAGAGCCGGGAGCGTCTGATCCAGGTGGGTGAGGCGGGAACGCTTCGGCTGCGGTAGCTCCGGCTCAAAGCTCACTGGAATGTTGTTTGCTTTTCGACTCGCTGCTCGGCCTTAAAGTTGCACTCGTTTTCCAGTCGTCCTGTCTGTTCAGTAGAGACTGTTTGTTTGAGCTGCTGCTGTAGTATTAATGCTTTACTGCAGAAAACACTTCTGCTCAACTGTTGGGGTCATTTTGGTCATAAACAAGCGGGTTCGTCCAGATTCACAGCGTCATTAAATACTTTTATCTTTTAAATAACCAGTATGTGGCATCAGCTCACAAAGTAAACACCTTTGATGCAAAACTGTTTTGTCTTTGATCAATTTAAAAATGTGTGGCAACAGGTTGTGATAGTCACACAGATAAATGTTTTCTTGATTTATAAAATAAAACTGTTCTTACATTTGTCTGAAGACGGCTCGGTTAGCTTAGATTAGTGTCGAGACTTCATCTGGAGAAACAGCTAGCCTGCGATGTCGTGTGGTTTTTTAACATCCATCCATCCATTATCTTTACCCGCTTCTTCCATTTTTGGGTCACGGGGGTCGTCGGTGCCCATGTCCAGCAATCACCGTGCGAGGGGCGGGGTACACCCTGGACAGGTCGCAAGTCCATCACAGGGACACATAGAGACTAACAACCATTCACTCTCTCACTCACACCTAGGGACAATTTTAGAGTTACCAATCAGCCTAACATGCATGTTTTTGGTCTGTGGGAAGAAACCGGAGTACCCGGAGAAAACCCACGCATGCACAGAGAGAACATGCAAACTCCACCCAGAAAGGCCCCCGGACCAGGATTTGAACCAGGGACCTGCTCGCTGAGAGGCAGCAGCTCTACCAGTTGCGCCACCGCGCTGCTGTTTTTCAACACTTGAGATATTAATGTAATGAATAGGATCACCCCAAGAGTATTACCAGTATTATACCGACTGTGTTTGTGTTAAACTAAGCTAACAAACTTGGTTTAGTACAATAGCTCGGTTAGCTTAGCATTGAGACTTAAAAACAGCTAGCCTGGCATCTCTTGATTTTAAAATACAGTACCGAAATGATAATTTAATAACCAGAATGAACTTCAGAACATTTTCACACTGTTGTGTTGTTGCTGTTGTGCTATGCTAAGCTAACTGAGTAATTGTCCTAAGCTAACAAACTTAGCATAGCATCATTACTTTAGCAGGAAAAACAACCAGCTTTGTAGCTTATGTTTTTATAACACTAAAATATTAATTTAATGACAGAATCAGCTTCAGAACATTCTCACACTAGCAGTAGCTGTTTTTGTGCTGCAGTAAGCTAACAAACATGGCTAAGCAGCACGGTGGCTCAATTAGCTTAGCAGCAAGACTGAAAGGAGAACTCGCCTGCTGTCCCCATATGATCTGAAAATACTAAAAAAGTTTGTCTAGCAAAACCTAGAGGCACAGATGAACTGTATATTTGGTTTTTAGTACATTCTCCCCCTGAAAGTTCGTCTTCTGTGAGCTACGCTAAGCAAACAAGCTTAGCTTAGCATAAAAACTCTTAGCTTATCAAGACAACTAGAAAAGCTAGCTTGCCATCAGTGGTGGGCACAGCTAGCTAAAAAGTTAACTTTGCTAACCCATATTCTGCTAATTGAAAATTAACTTTGCTAACATTAAACAAGTTTTAAAAAATTAGCATAAGCTAATGCTGAACCTCTTCTTCAGACGTCTTTGTCTCCTTCCAGATGAAGCTGCGTCGACCAGTCACGTCTTGTCAGGCGCTTTCGTAGTCAGCCAATAGCGTGCTTAACAGACCCTTTGGGACACGCCCACAACAGACAGGAACAATCTCATGATTTTCATTATAAGGTAAAGTTGGTGGGACCCAATTTAGCTGAAGGTAATTCCGCTAACGGTTTCAAAAGTTAGAGAAAATGCTAATTAGCTAAACAAAAAATATAGTTCCTCTATTACCCGTTAGCGTATTAGCAGAACTGTGCCCACTCCTGCATGTTGTCTACGTGAATAAGAAATACTAAATAAACTTAATTTCCTAAGTTGTCAAAGAAAAATCAACTGATTCTGAACAATAAATCAAAACGACGCTGTGATCCAACAGCTGTTTTTGCAATAAGATGGAACGGTGATCTGCATAAATATTTTTAAACTGTCCATAAACGATGCAGTGCTTCTTTTTCAAACATCTCAGATCATCTACTCAGGTTATCATGACACTTTATTCAGATCCTTAATTTAAATTTGCTGCAGAATCTTTGGATTTTTCCCAGAACAACGTGCGTTTTTGAGCGAGGCGGCAACCTTGAAGTGACCTTGAAGGACCAGCCTTGACGTGTTTGTGTTTTCTGTCTTGCAGGAGTGTTTGGTTCTGATCCGAGGACTCTGTGTGCAGGAAGGAGCTGGAACCGAGCTGAGCAACAAACTGACTGAAAGTCTGAAGGAGATTCTGTCCGACAACAAGGTAAACAACCGTCTGTTTACATCCTGGTTGTTAAGGTAAACACCGTCTGTTTACATCCTGGTTGTTTAGGTAAACACCGTCTGTTTGCATCCTGATTGTTTAGGTAAACACCGTCTGTTTACATCCTGGTTGTTTAGGTAAACACCGTCTGTTTACATCCTGGTTGTTTAGGTAAACAACCGTCTGTTTACATCCTGGTTGTTTAGGTAAACACCATCTGTTTACATCCTGGTTGTTTAGGTAAACACCATCTGTTTATATCCTGGTTGTTTAGGTAAACAACCGTCTGTTTACATCCTGGTTGTTTAGGTAAACAACAATCTGTTTATATCCTGCTTGTTTAGGTAAACAACCGTCTGTTTACATCCTGGTTGTTTAGGTAAAACAGTCTGTTTGCATCCTGGTTGTTTAGGTAAACACCGTCTGTTTACATCCTGGTTGTTTAGGT